AGACGTTCGCGGATCGCAATTAGAACTCTGCGAGGAGGATGTTGAAATGGCCTAGCCAACTCATCCAGCACCATGTGATATTCGCCTGCAAGTGCACCCACGCCATCAGCGAAGACACGGGGAAAGCACTTAATCAGCTGGTCAGCGGAGACCAGGGAACTGGCCGGAACATCATGTGTATAAACTTCACCATCAGACTCCTGCGGTCGGTTTAACTGGTCGTTGTCTAGATACTGAATAATGTTCATTCCCATGCACACTTTCCTGCCAAGAATAGGTCTGACTTTCTTGCTGTCAGCCAATTGCATTCAAGCAGGCATCTGAAATCTCCACGCCATACACGCAAACGAACTTTCCCGAGGATAGGAATTGAGGTATCCCCATTCGAAATGATCACCGTATTAACAGGTGTCACATTGCACAAATCAACATCCTTAGTCGCTTTCTTGTACAGATGCAAAGGGACAACATTGCACTGAGGTCCGGTATCGGGCTGAAAACGAAGACAATTTGCAGATTCCAACTTCAGCGTTACCAGTTCAGAATCATCCAACGTTACAGCCGAAATTTCTTCGACTCCAAAGACTTCGTACGAAAGCTCATCTTCGAAACAATACACAGGATGCGTGCGAATCGTGGGCTTAGGCACGTGTCCAAAACATACGTTCGCGAAATGATTTTTCTTACCACACTTATTGCAACTCCTTCCAAAAGCTGGAAAGTTCTCATGCTTCGCTAAGTCATGTTCACGTCCGCAAAATTCACAACTATTTTCCCGCGTGTTAGCATTTCTCGAGCCACGACCGCGCCTACGTTTCCCTCTTTTAGGCTTTTTAGACACAGCATTCACGTTTCCGGTATCTGCAACGCTTAAACCGGCATCGCCGACGACCTTCATCTGCTGTACCATGGTCTCGTGAGAATGACAAATCTCATTAGTTTTCTCCAACGACAAATTCTTCTCATGAAGAACCCTCTCACGAACTTTTGAATCGCGAATTTCAAACACGAGCTTGTCACGTAAAATCTGTATAGGGGTAATCGTTTCGAATTTGCACGTTTCCGCTAACTGTCGATGAGCTGTCCGATAGTGATCGTAAGACTCTCCCGATTCTTGCATTCTAGAATAAAACTTATATCTTTCAAAAGGCGCATTTTAAAGTGCCTGACAGTACGCTGCAAACAAAGCGCCTCTAACATTCGACGTATCTGCAGACGAATTCAGCAATGCACCGGCCCCTTCGCCTCCCGGCATCGCAAAGAAAAAGTAAAACACGTAGGTTCGCTACAATATTCCTGACACCATGAGACACACGTGAGAGACAGTAATACGAGGGAAATAAGCTCTCTTCAATGAGACAAGAAGTAACTTAAATATCCTGCTTATTAAATATTCGCCTTGACACATTACATAACCCTAATCCTAATAACAAATACAACAATGCACGCTTGGCACTCGTCACAGAATGCTGTAGCGTCATTGACAATAGTAATAAAAATAATCGACATCATCATCATCATAACAATTAAAATCATCATCATCATCAACATCATAATTGTATTAAGCAAAAAAAAAAATTGTATTATACAGTTTTCATCATGCACAGTGAATAGGCAGTTTGTAAACTTAATTATCAAAGAAAAAGACTTTAAAAAAAAGACAAGTTTTTTTGAAATGGTCAACAGATTTGTCCATCCTTATTTTAAGAGATCGACTGTTCCAGAGTTTATATAGCTATGTATTCCTCCGTCAAATGGATGAAATTCTGTGAAAACAGAATGGTGACTGGTGTGCTATATTTTATTTACGAACGGCAGAAAATTTGTTTTGTCGATGAACGAATTTTGCGAAGTCTTTAGGAATACAGAAAGGGATTGAAAGGAGTTTGACTAATATAGTCGCGGGTCGCGGGTCGCGGGTCCAATGTCGCGGTCGCGGGTCCAATGTCGCGGTCGCGGGTCCAAAGTCGCGGTCGCGGGTCCAATGTCGCGGTCGTGAGTCCAAAGTCGCGGTCGAGGGTCCAATGTCGCGGTCGCGGGTCCAATGTCGCGGCAGGGGAAAATGATTTGAAAACGACTGATATGAAAACAATTTGAAGGGAAAAAAATCTTTTTTATGCACGATACTCTACGGTAGCCAATTTACAGGTTACAGATGTTAGAGTCAACAAAATAATGTCTCAAGAAAAGACCTAAACCAAAAGCTGGCCGACTTTTGTGTTCACCGCAAGTTTATTTTGTTTTCTTTCTATCGGGCCCAGTTAATTGTAAATTCGGCTTTGAATATACTTATGCATAACAGCATCTGATAAAAAAAGTTACCATGAGTTACCATTGTTTTCTTCTTGTCTATGAATTGCTCACAAATGCTCAGGGGTGCATTCAACTGAAAAATGTGCGATACACTTCATAGACTACAAATTATAAACGTTACAACAACTTAAAACCTTTTTTTAAAAAAAACTCGGGCTCGAAAAGCTACGAGTCTGTCGGTAGAAGAAACGAGAACTCTTATATTAAACAAATATTTTCGGCAAGAATAAGGAAAATGTAAACAGGCGCATGAAACCTCATTGAAGCGGTATTCAAGGCATGAATTTAATATGGAAACAAGTAATAATCCACAGAAAGGAGTCTGTTCCTCGAAGCAAGATTTTCGCTTGACGCTTTTACAACTGAGACGGCAACCCGGAGTGTTCTATATAACTTCTTGAGTTTTTTTATCTAAATGGCAACCAGGACAACCTGACAACAGGAAGCCATTCATTGTGCGTCTCAGTCAAATCTGGAAAACATGCATCGTAACTAAGTGAGTAAGTAGGTAAGGAAATAATAACGCCCGGTATCATGAAGCTGAAAAAGAAAATAAACCAGACACTGAAAACAGTAAGTTATCAACTCCACCAGAGCTAAGAAAAGACAATAAATTAGGTAAGGCGTAAATGCCTGTAATCGCCCTATGTACTAAGGGAATTCAAGACAGTCTTTCATTCTGGATTCCACGCTGTGGATTCCAGATTCCAGGTACTGGATTCTATTCTTTGTCAGTAGAACCAAGAGACTATGATCTATTCTCTCTTGGTAGAACTTGGATTCCGGATTTCAATCGTTAGTGGGATTCCGGATTCCAAAACCCAGGATTCCGGAATCCATAAGCAAAAATTTCATCGTCTTTGCCCCCCTTCTGATATAAGCCCCCCGTCTCTATCAAGCTCCCCCTTAGGGGTGTTTGAAATAGATAAGCCCCGGGGGGCTTAGTGGAGGATATTTTACGATAGGCGAGCCAGTTAAAATTTTTGTTAGTTTATTAGAGGCGCAGACGAGACCACATCACCGCATCTCGTTACATACGTTTTTGTCGTCAATTTAACCCATGTGGCGTTATCCGTGCATACTATTGCCTACATATGGAGAAATTTTAAGTACACAACAGAAGTACAAGTGCTTACTAGAAATACAACCAGTTAAGTGACTTTATTCAAGAAAATGTAGTTACTGAATCAAAAGTAATACATTACTAAATACCTCGGTGGCTTTCAAGCAACATTGTTGACATTGGGTGATGAAGATAAGCCTTAGGTGAGGGGACATATGATCAGTGTATAACGGTTTACCGACATTTTGTGCGAACAGAGTAAAGTGTAACGTAACATAACATCGAAATTTATGTAGCCATCTTATTTGTTTGTACTATTAGAAAGAAAACTTTGTAACAGAACTCAACAAGTATTATTATAGTTTTTCGAACTTGAAAAAGTTATATTTGTGTATCTAAGAACACTTGCCAGCAACAGTTTTGAAGTCCTCTATTTCAGATGATGATGTAATGCTTCTGTCAATGTCGTTTTTAAAATTAACAAACTCTCATTTTTAAAAAATAGCTACAATGTGAATGGAACTGTGCAACATCAACTGAGTTTGACAGGCGATAATAACAATGGGTTGACAAAATAAAGGGTGATATTATGTTGGTTCGTTTTCTGACATGGTATGTACAATACTAGACCTTTCCAGTTTACTTTCAAGTATATCAAGACTTGAGCTTTGGGTTCAGCACCTTAATCCTGGTTCTCATTTGCCTTCGATGCACTTTTGCGGCATGGCTGCCGGTACTGCCTGGGATACTGTTCCAATATAAGAACAGAAGTCGCCGGCAACATTGGTCATCCCAGTCTTTACCGCCGGCATGCCTGCGAAGTTGACTCGTGTTCAACTTCGCAGGCATGCCGGCGGTAAAGATCTGCGATGGCTCTTTGTTACCAGCGGCGCATGCCGTTCTCATTCGTTCCAACAGTAACCCAGGCAGCCCCACGGGCGGCTATGTCGCAGGTACATCGGCAGCATATGAGAACCAGGCTTTACAAAATATGCTTACCTATCGGGTATCCAATGCTCTTTGCAAGAACTGAGTTTTGTTTTGCGAGCGCGCACAAGCAGTTATGAAACTGTGGTATTTCGAGACCGACGAAAATGTATAAAATACAACTTCAGAGCAGAGAGCACTAGGTAATAAATTTTCTGCTATGAGAAATCAAAAAAATAAATAAATAAAACAAAGGTTTTCACACATTGTTTGTAGTAAAAAAGTGCCCCCGTAGTCTGACTGACTACCATAACGGGAGAGAGTCCTGGGAACGAGGTTCTGACTACCATCAAGTGAGCAACACTTGTAGCTACTTTAAGATCTAATATCTCAAATAAGCTTTTATTATAGCGAAACTCGTAGGAGTCCAGTAACACGCATTCATTATTTATTCCAGTATCAAAAATTCCAAAACCTTTTAATACGAAATTTCGAATGATCGGCAAATTTTTAACTAGAATGCGTGTATGCGCCGAGCCGACAATAATTCAAGAGCAAGGGAAAGCGAGTACTCTAGATCTCTTAAATATCGATACCCCTCAGTACTAAGTGAGCACAATCTGAGGAGACCAAATGAAAACATGCTATCTAGTTTCCTTTTGGCTTCCTCCGATTTTGCTTAGGAAAAGAAAATAATCTAAACTAAATTAATCTGTAAACCACTGGCTGAAACATAGTCGCTTTGAGCGGAGTCCAAGGACTGATATAGCTCTATGGAAACTTGAACGGTATCGTTAAAAAGTGGATTCTTACGCCGCACGTGCATACGATCTAGATGGTAATAAGTGTTTTGAAAATCAATAGAGTAAATTGGCTGCCCTGATGCCTGATCCCGCCGTATAAACCTTCGGTCGCAATGCTTGATCACAACATTGTATGGCGAATTGCGGTATTGGTCTGTAAAAGCAGCGTAACAACCATAACACACTCTCACATTGTTTGGCAGTATTACTAACTCGTAAGGGAACGGTGATAGACCTGAATGCCACATAGTAGGGTGTTGTGAGGCAGGATTTGGGTTGCTGTGCGGCAGGGGGACAGAATGACCTGTTGGGTTGCCGTGTGGTAAGGGGACAGGATGACCTGTGGGGTTACCGTGTGGTAGGGGGACAGGATGACCTGTTGGGTTACTGTGTGGAAGGAGGACAGAATGACAAGTTGGATTACTGTGTGGGAGGGGGACAGAATGTCCTGTTGGGATGTTGTGCTGCAGGGGGACAGAATGACCAGTTTGGTTACTGTGTGGTAGAGGGACAGAATGAAAAGTCGGGTTGCTGTGTGGTTCTTGGGGGACAGAATTACAAGTTGGGTTGGTGTATGACCGACATGACTGGGGGGCAGAAGGAACTGTGGGGTTGCTGTATGAGTCGGAACCTGCAGTAGATCGAATGTTGTTCCTTTTCTTCTTGTTGCCTGTTTTTGCCAGTGGAGGACGGTGTCCAGAGGAAGGGTCCGCTAAGTTACCTCGCAGTTTCGAGATTTCTTTGCCAACTTGAGCAGCAGGCAAGACTTCTTTTTTATGGGTTCGCTCTCGCCGTTCCACATAACTTGGACCAACACCTCCTTTCACGTTTCCCTTCTCGAATGCTTTTAGCTCTGCTTCCAGTAGGACACTGTCTCTTGTGTCTGCCTGAGCAGCATCAAGAAGAGAAAGATTAGCTCGGTCGCGGTGCGCCCAACTGGCATGGATGACTTCCGCGAGGTTCATGTTTGGAGCTTCCGTGCTTGGTGAGAAAGCACGAAATATAAATGCTCTGCGATGGTCCCACCAATCAACCCATGTAGACAGAAAGGCTCTCTCGGGCTTTGCGTTAATAAACTGATAAACTGCATCTTTTGCAGCATCATATGTTTCCCTTATATTTGCCAGAAGTAAACCATCGCAGAGCGTTTTGAATTCTTGGGAATCCTCGTCACTGCTCAGCTTTTGAGCCATCTTGTTTCTATTCTGTTTAAAGTGAAACTCGCAGCTTTTTATTCTCTGCAGAGCGTCTTCTCCAAACACCTTTAAACCATTCATGTTTGACCCCGCCATATCCACACACCATCCGATTGGATTAAAGACTGCATCTTTGTTCTGTGTTGCATGTTTCAATGCTTCATTGAACAATGTCCAAAATTGCTCAATATTTTCAGAATTTTCTCTTTCTGCTTCCATCACGGCCAAGACTATCTGCCGCTTAAGTAGTGGATAGTACGTACTAGCCGTGAGTGTAACATAATTACGACATCTTTTGACTTTCCCGTCGAAGAAACAATATTCGTTGCTCATGAAGTGCTTACCGTCTCTATTCATGTTTTCTGCAATTTGCATGCGAGCTTTGCTTGTCTTGAACACGTATGATGGTAGGTCCGGGTTGCATCTTCGATCATTTATCTTAAACACTAGTAGTTTATCTTCCTTGTCACAATACTCTTTGAAGGTGGCAAGAGCTTCAAAATTTTCGCCCGACGGATAAGTTTTCTTTCTGAGATCTTGCTTTTGGTTCGCTATCCACTTCTTGTCTAATATCTGCGACGCCTCACTTACTACCGTAGTCCAGTCTTCGCCGCTTCTCAATGCCGATAAGACAAACGCTGACTGGACTTGTTCCGGCTTCATATCAGGATTTTTCTGCAATATTTCTTTCACTCGTTCAGCTGGTTTGGCAGGTTTTTCTTGCACTGGGCAGGTGTGTGTTCCACAGTGAAATACCTTAATGTGTTTTTTCCCTGTCTGAAGGTAGCGGCGTGCAGCGCATTCAACAAACACGGCAGGATCTTCACAGACCCCACAAACATGTACGCCTTCACGTTTTTTCATTTGCATGCGGTTTATGACTCCATATTGAACCCTATATGGGCAGTCAATGTTCTCACATTTGTATGAGCCCCGGCAGTCTGCATACCTCATTTCTCCAAAGTTCTTCCACCTAGTAGCTGAACTTTTCTTCCACTTCCTATCGTCAGTTTGAATAACTTTCACTTTGTCAGTGGCTTTGCACTTTATCGTGTATGCACAAAGTCCATCAATACCGGTTGGGAGACAGGAAACGTTCTCTGCAACAACATTATCCCACAATTCAGGATCAAACTTTCTTTGCTTTTTTATTTTATGATAGCCAACTCTTTCATCGTCTGTGTCTGCTGTCTTCTCATCGTTGCTGCTATTACTTCTTCCTCCATGTTTCCTTGCTCGCTTTGCGGGAGAATATATACTATGTGTTAGTTCCTCATCACTGCTGCTGCTCTGTTTCGAAAAAGTTTGATGATTGGTGCCCCTACAAGAAATTATCAAGTTATTGATTGCAAGGCTGGCAGCCATTATACTTGAAAGCGGTTTGTATGTTGACAACGTGATCGAAATATATGTTTTGTTAGTTCAATAATTATATCGAGCAGAGACGTAAAAGCAAATAGAGAAAAATAATACAAGAAGAAAAAAGTACAAGAGTAACATCCCTTAGGAACATCATCTTGGGAATTTAAATCCTTTAAAACGGAACTGACTTTCTTAGAAGAATTAAACAATTAAGCCAGACTTGACTAACCCATCTCACACTAACCATGAACGAAAAACCCCAATTTTTTGCTCTAGTATAGTTAATTTGAATTTCTAAATTACTGAAACAAAGGGAATTAAAGTTTTTAATTTTTAGTTTTACGTTAACCACAACTGATTAAGAAATTAATCGTTTGTTGGTGATACGAAGAGTCAGAATGAAGCCCATGATAATAAGAAAAGTTATCTAAGATTTTCCACTTAGAGAATTAGGATAAAGGACGTAATTGGTAGATTCTTTAAATGTATATGTTTAACCTACCTTTTTAAGAGAGAATCTGCTACGTTTTTTCTGCGTTTTCCAGCTGGTGCTGGTTCAAGCTGCAAACCAATTATTTGTATCAAAACTCTGCTATGTATAAATTTTATTGACACTCATTATTCATCGCCAACTGTATGACAAAAAGGAAAAGGTTTAATCAGACGATAAAAGTGATGTCGCTGTTATTTGTTAGTCCCACACCAATTTGTTTTCTTTTAGAGGCGGGTGTGGGGGGTGGGGGAGGGGGAGGGAGGGAGGAAAGGGGCCCGATAATGCTCACATGCTCACAGTGAGTCTGAGATTAATGATTTCTATTTTGGTATGTTCAAGTTAAATACGCCTTTTCCCCGTCCCAATATCCAAAACTGAAACGATTGCAAGTATTTCCTGACTTGCAATCGCTTCAGTTTTGGATACTTTTTTTAGCGTGGATGCACGTTAGGAATCTTTATTTGAAAGGAGTTAACTTCTAAGAGCTATCTTGCTTCAGGACCCAGTTGTTCGAAGGCCGACTAACGCTTAACCCGGGGTTAAATTTAACCCGTGTTTGTTGTTCTTGAATTCAAAAGCATTTTCTCGGATAATTTTCTCCGTTATTTTTAGAACTTCCAGTCATCAACTTGTAGACAAAAAGAATAAAACTGAAATGCTTTTTAAGCTTTCAAATCTGCCGATTTAAACCTCGCAAGAACCCTGGGTTATCTTAACCCAGCTTTGAACAACTCGGCCCAGGGTAAAAAATCCAAAGATCGTTTACAAGAAGATTCTATCAACTATCGTGTAAAATGTTTATTTTATCTCTTTGCTCAAATTGAGATACTTACCTTAACAAAGCCGTGTCTTTTATACTCGTTCTTCACAGGCGTACTTTCGTTAGTAGATGACAAGTCTTTCGTTAGATCGACAAAATCCTGCGGAGAAAACAAATATATGTGATATATATATATATATATATATATATGCCTTTGCTCAAATACATTTATCATCACCTTTCCGCACAAATATTATACAGTAAATGCCATCTTGGGATATCAGCATAGGTTTAATACTACGTACTACGTTGTTCTCCACAACGAAATATTACTATTGTTATAGATGTCCGTGCTCCCCCTAAAATATACCGGAAGTTTTACAAGGGGTTATTCAGTGGAAAAAGACCAAGGACGGTAAGAAGAAGTGTCATTTCGTTTTCCAAGAAATTATAAGTCTTCCTTTAGCCCAAAATGTTTCGGCATTTTCAAATGGCTCGAAATAGTTAAAAGATACAGCTTTTTTGAAGTATGAGAAGTGTTCCTATGATAAATTTCCCACGTGTTTCACTGCGGTGGTAGTTATGAAAGAAAAACATATTTTAACGCATTGTTCTCTTTTTATAACTGTCCACAGACTCGTACCCAGTCGCTATGTACAGGACTCAACTGACCGTTGCTCTCAGCAGTTGTATTATCCTCCGTTAGGACAGTTAGTTTTAAAAAAATATTTTCAAATAATTTTTAAATGTAAAAGTAATCTAAGCCGCTTCTACTTTAAAAAAGCGCCTGTGACACTGATGAACCCACCTTCTTAGGGGATGGGGGGTCTATTCTCATGCCTCTGAAGATGCTTATTCCAGGCTGGTATTCTTTTTCCTTTTCCCACCATTCCATGTTAGTTACGTTTGCACGTTTTTTACCTCCCTAAAGTAGGAATGACAGGTCATTAAGAGTTCGTGATTAATCAGTGATTACTTGACTGACGTGTTGTTCTACTTTTCGTTCACTCCCTAACGTGAATCATTCAGTTCGGGTTCAGCATCTTTTGAATACAATGACTATCATCCTCCTTATCATTGTCATCTTTACCTCATTCTTTAATTTACTTTAATACGGCATTATTCTTATAAGGGGAGGAAACTGAGGAAACTGAGGAAACAACATTGAAATAGCTTGAAGGCATAAATTAAAATAAAATAACTTGGCATTTTAAAAAATTTAAACACGCGTAGATTAGAAATTTAATTAACTCCCGTATGTACAAATGAGAATGTTCCATGTCAAAACATTGTGCTCACGTTGCAGAACCAAGTTTCTCCTGTTGTAATCAAGTTCCTTTTTCTTTTCAATAGTCAGAAAAAGCTCTCTAACCTTGGTGAAGCGCCAAGATTTTTCTTCCTTTGTAGGGGTGTTACTCTCACCACAAGAACTGACATCGTCTGTGAGATCGACAACAACCTTTGTGTAGTAAGAGAATTTGCATTTAAGAAATACGCCATCTTCATTAAAAAATTTTTCTTTGTTTCAGATCGACTCACACAAACATATAACGTATAACGATAACGAACCTACCTTTTCTGCAAACTCTTTACCACCGTTTTTACTTGAGAGAGTGGAATCTAGTCTTTTTTCTTCAAAGTTGTTACAACTACTGGGCTGGTACACCTCTCCTTGGCCTTGTCGTGTCATGCTGGCTGTTCCGGCTTCACTACTTCCCTTCAGTGAAATAAAATGAGAATACAAATTTCAATATACCAAGCATATTCAGAAACTTGCTCGTTTGAAGGGCAAAACATCTAAGGTACTTTATAACATAGCTAGAAAATTCGCCTAATCAAATTCAATAGCGCGAGCGTGCTTCATATTCCTATTGAGCACGCTGATGACGTCAATAAACTATTCGTAATTCCTCGAGTTGTTGTGAGCTTAGCAATCCTGAGTCTCTTGAGTGCATCCATAACTCAGCAATAGACAATGAAGCGTTTACCATGTGTTTTGTAAAGAAATTTAAGAGGAAACGTTTGAATTTGTTAACCGATAGTAAGGAAAAGAGGTGAGTGTTGTTGTTGTTGTTGTCATCTCCGCGAGCTGTGCGGGCTATGGCGTGAGCTCATTCTTTGCAAAGTTGTTTTCTCTCAATAACAATTTTTCGGTAAATTAATAGTTTTCCGGCACCTAAATATGGATTTTACAATCATTTGAGAGTACACTTTCTCTCAGTTTCAGGATAAAAACATAAGATTAACTGTGAGGAAAAAAGATATATTCACGTAAACATTGACGCGTACTGCTTTGAGCGCGCCCTTCAATAATAAAATTTTCAGTTAACTGCTGCATTGATCGCTTTGATAATGTTATAAAACAATTAGTTCATGCTGCAGCTGTGCGTATGTCGAGATATTGAGCACTTGGGAAGTTTGGAGAGCACTCAAGAGGCTAGAGTTGCACTCGGCTGCGCCTCGTGCAACTCTTACGCCTCTTTCGTGCTCTCCAAACTTCCCGCGTGCTCAATATCTCGACATACGCACGCTGACGCATGAACTAATTGTTAAATGACTCGATCTCAACGCCGTCATACGACACTACTTTCCAAAGCAAAGTTTGTGCTGATCGACGTAGAACTAACATTTATTAGATTCTGCCTATAAAACCCCTGTGCAATGACACACAGACACATATACATAGACATGGACACTTTATTTTACGTGGTGAATATGCGTAGCCATACGGCTAGATCACTGGTTAAATAAAGGCAGAAACTAAAATACAAAAATAATGTTAAAACTTTGAATTACTTATCGCTAAGATTACGAATTAACTATGACAAAATTTTAAGCAAAAGCTTACCATTCGGTTAGGCTGGAGTGCGACGTAATGATTCCCGCTGTGACCAACATAAAGGGTGCCAATTGATTCGTTCTTCTTAGGGGCAAACGTCTTAATATAATTCGTTCTTTCAGACTACACAGAAAAAAAAAATCATTTATTCGGAGTTGTAAAAGTTGCCGAATTGAGGCATTAAATCTTAACAACAGTAGCCTTTGATGTATTTGTAACTCTATAAGTTATGCAGTGGCGGATGCAGGACGAGGGTCCAGGCGGTCTGGGTCCTCCCCCCTATCAGACCTAACGCTTGTTTTAGACTAAAATTCTTACATCGACAGGATCGGGTATCACTTATATTAACTGGCTGATTCTGTTTAACGAAACGCGCGTTACGATTGCCACTAAACTAAATTCCAGGGATAGTAAAAAATGTACGTAATTGTTTTTGGGTACCTTCCTATGATCTGTTCGCCTCTGCTCGCAAAGCTGCCTCCCGCGCCAACGGCGACCGGCGTTCACAGATTGAGAAACACATGGTCACGTGGTAGTTTACCACAAATAAGTTCATATAGTCGTTTTTGAACAATAGTTTGCCTTCCCTCCCTTCCCAATAAAAAAATTCCTGGATTCGCCCCTGTTATGATAGTTAAGTTGGTTTAGTTACACTGAGTTTTTCCATATATTTCGAGGGTCAAGGGTCGTTG